GTTTCGCTCGTTTTTTACTGAGTGAGTATTGGATTCTAAGACAAGATCGGATAAGAGTTTCGACAAATATGAAGCTGAAAATGTAGAGAAAATAACGGACATGGTTTCTTCCAATCTCGGGGAGTCTACCATCCTCTTGTTAGTTATTATAAAATGCCATAGATAGCGAGTGTTAGATACATATTATTATAAAAACTACAAATTATTCAGTATATCTCTCTTCGTAGACATTTGTCTATCATCAACCAAGGTGAAAAAACAAAGTATTCAGTTATTCTCCGACCCCTGGAAGTAGTTCATTGTACTCTTGAGTCACTCTATTTATCCTAATATTCTCACTGAAAACGATACTGGAGGTCCACAATCGCCTTCATAAACCTTCTGATAAACCCTTGAGGCAGTTTATGGGGTCCATGATCGCTTTCATCAACCTTATCAGAAACCCTTGGGGTGGTTGATGAGGTCCATAATCGTCTTCATAAACCTTATCATAAACCCTTGAGGTAGTTGATGAGGTCCATGATCGGTTTCATATACCCTCTCACAAACGCTGGCAACCATTCGTGATGTCCATAAACGCTTTTCAATAGCGTTTCTGAAAGGGGCTCATGAGTATAGACTTTTAATCAACCCTTTTTAGACCGAGTTTCGAAGGTTATATGAGAACGTTTATGTGAATTATCAACCCTTTTCAGGGGTTTATGAAAGTGCAACGTGCCGCAATCCCTTTATGCATTTATGAATCTAATCAACCTTGCAATAAACCTTCCAGAAAGCATATTTAACGATAATAAACTCCGTATTAAACCCTTTTTAGAGGGTTTATAACAGGGTTTATGACTCGTTGATAAACGGTTGAAAAGGGTTTGCTACACGTTGCGCTTTCATAAACCCTTTTTTCGTTTATTATTCTACGTTTTTTTTTACAGTGTACTGATTCAACGGTCGTGTAGTTCAACTTGAATCATATCCGTGAACGCGTTCAATTAGGTCTTTCGATATTTTCTCATGATCAACATAAATTTCAGATGATCGACAATGAGATTGATAATAAGCTCGAAATTTCTAAGAAAATCGTTTTCATAATATGTCTATAGAAGCATACTACATTAATACTAAACTTATGTGGGCCTGTTCGTTGACGTCAGTTCGTGAAAGACCTTTTTATTTCTTTTCATCTGTTTGATGCAATTGAATCTAAATATCTGACGCTCTTTCTATGTTCTCTAATGATGCATAAACAGTAGCAAGGAGAATTGCACCCAATATCAATCAATTAATTAACTGAGGAAAATATCGCTGCATGCGATCCTAAATATTTTGTGATAAATCAATATTCTTTTCATTTAAACCACCTAATAACAATGTCACTAGAATTTAAAAATGTACTATAACCGCATGAACACTGTTTTATGTTATTTGTATTAAGATATAAAGGCAGAGGAAAAGTAACCAATAGTAAATTTTAAGAAAATCTTCGAATACTGATTCAAAAAGTATTGTTTATTGCATTTCTCATAAAGACTTGCCTACCGACAGAACTCATTTTCCTATTTGATGGGCATACGTAGATCTTGATCAGTTATGTAAACTTTGGTCATTTTTCCGTAATTTCCAAATGATCATTATTTAGAGAATAGCTTCCCTGGAGAATGTACTGAGTTAAGGGTACCCAAAACGTATTCTGCTACTACCAACTTTTAAATGCTTTTAGTATAATGTGAATTTATTTTGAACACTGCAAGATAAAGATTCAAAACTTTTACCGTTTATAGTTATAACGTTTTTTTAAAATCTATTGTAAAGCTATATGCCAGATTGAATGACTTGTTGACAATTTATATATCAAGCAACTTGAAAGCTGTCACTCGACAAAGTGAATATACAGACTTTTTATTATAAATAATCCTATTTTTTATGTTTTGAAACAAAAGTGATAAGAAAGTGTATTTCATTATTTGACTACTTCAAGAGTTCTCTTTCTTCCTTTATAGTCTGCATGCTGCTGGTTCTATGGCAGAGAAAGCTAGATTTCAATTTGTCTCACTTTACACTAAAGGATGCAAATATTTATCAAATGTCGTCGACGTTGTACGAGGGAATAAGGAAAGCATACAATTTAAACCAATTCAATATTTTGATAGAATTTCGAACATTTTACAAACTTAGCTATTTTCATCATTTTTTCTGGTTTTATTACATTAAAAGTTTTTTTATTCTTATGTCACCAAAAACATGAGAATGGGTGTTACACATCCACATTCTAATTCCCCGACGTCTTGCTTACATAATTCTCAACGCAATGTGTTTTTTCCCATTGATTATTTTCTCGTGAATATTTAATCTTTTGAGAATGATCGCTAGCTTTTGAACCACAGCTTCTTTGACTTCTCTTGTTCTTTCTTCTTCGTTTTTGGGTAAATACTCTTGAATCAATTCTTTGGATGTCATTAGTTTGCCTGTGAGGAGATTTCGAACGTTTTCTTCAGTAATTGCATCACTAAAACATCATAGACACACATCACTTATAATAAACAATACCTATGTAGCATAGAATACGATATGAGTGTTTAATTTCTTACATACAGTTCGACGATGTCGATGATATTCTTGTTGCAGACATCAGCTTTGATTTGGTCACAGGTATTTCGTCATCTCTGGCTCTTTTCTGTCCTTTACCTGAAAATCAAGTAAAAAAACAAATCAAAATTTTGATTCATATTCTTTGGAAACTGCGCAGTCGAATACAATAATGAATTAGATTATGTACAATATTAGGATACTTTACTACAATTATGATTCTTTTTTTAAAACATTTTTTCCTTCTAACTTCAACTTCAACTTCAAAACATGACAAGCATGTTGGTGTTGGCATTCTCTTCATCTACATCCAAACTCTACTTTTAGCTTATACCTAAATTCGGCATCAATTCAAGTTGTTGGCACCGTATTTCAAGAGCATTTAATTTCGAATTGCATCGTTTATTATCGATTTCAAGTTCGCGACAGTGATCTCTGAGACAGTTGACTTGAAACTTGAGTTCTTTAGTTGTTGATATGAATTGGCCAAAAATAGGTCTCATATATTCGAAATTACAACTTGTGATATGACTAGCCAGTTGATCACGTGGCCCCACCCATTCACATTTGAGATCTACACCTGAGCATGTTACCTTTATTTTCGGACATGATACATTTATGTGCTCGTTGAAAAAGCCTCGTTGGATATTTGATTCACCACAAGATTCACATTTCACCAAAAGTTGATAAAGAGAACTAAATATGATGAGATCAGGCAGCTTGATGTGGATACGTGACAAAGGCTCATGACAGCATAACGGACAAACAGGCTTCTTCTTTAGCACTTTTTCGATACATGATAGACAAAATACATTATTACAACATGACGTTGTCACAGGATTTGTGAAAGGATCAAAGCAAATGCTGCACTTGAGTTCGGCATTGATTGAATCCTCGTCCATATACGCAAAACCGGGCGTCTCTTGTGATTCGCACATTTCAGACATACTTAATTCACATTATTTCATGTTGCTTATACTAAAAAAGAGTTACGAGTGACAGTACTTGCCTATTTTTTTTTCTTTTCTTTATGTTGTCGCAATAATAGGCGTCATGTTTTTTTTTCCAAATTACTAAGCTGAAGAACAACTTCTCTTGAAAAGTGTGAATCACATAGGACAAACAGCGTATGAGATATGAGTGACATACAGAGATTTTAATAGACCATATCTATGCAGACACCACACTAACAATGAAGAACATCATGTAATAAGTGCAAGTTAACATTTTGCGTCTTGTAATGAGAAGATGAAAAAATGATAGCTGGATGCATACATATGTTACAAAAAAGAATCGAATTCAGTTCAATTTTTAATTGTCCTAGTTAAGATTAAAATTTTGATTTGAACTAGAGTCTTCGAAACATTAGAATACGACTTTGAATAAAAGACACAAAGACTTATTACATGATTCTCGCCTTCTTCCGTTCTCATAGTTGTTTTTCTTTCATTCTTTCTCTCCTGTTTATACACGTGGTTTCTTTATGTGTGTTTCTTACCTTCACTTCGCAATTGTTTTCTGCTCTTTTTTCTATTCAAAGCGAGCTGTAATTCTATAACGCATGATTTAATTATTAACATATGAATGCAGCATCTGATCAACAGCGAATGCTTTGATAGAGGTTGTAGGTTTGCGAAACAGTTTAGAATGTGTAACGAACGTACTGAATGGTCTCATTAGATATCATTTGATTTCATAACTAATCAGAAGGGTAGAATATCACTGATAATGGAGGTGCTTCAGGTGATAAGCAAAAACGTTGAAGTTTTTTATGTCAAATGAAAGCTCTCATCATGAAACTAACATGGTTAAAATATTAGCGACTGTTGGCGTATCCTTATGGAGATATTCGATTTTTCAGTGAATTTTCGGTACAGGACCGGCTTCCCAGCAATATCATATTTTCGAATTTGAACCTGAAACGTTGTATGCATGAAGGTTTCAATGAGACTAGCTTACAGAAAAAGCATCAGAAGGTTTGGACAAACCCTCTTCGAGATATGAATCTCTCAAAATATAGACAATTTTCTATAGAAGCTGTATACTTGAAGCATCTATATTTCGAAGAGGGTTTGCCCAAACCTTCTGATTTTTTTTCTGTAAGCTAGTCTCATTGAAACCTTCATGCATACAAAGTTTCAGGTTCAAATTCGAAAATATGATATTGCTGGGAAAGCCGGTCCTGTACCGAAAATTCACTGAAAAATCGAATATCTCCATAAGGGTACTCCAACAGCCGCTAATATTTTAACCATGTTAGTTTCATGATGAGAACTTTCATTTGACATAAAAAACTTCAACGTTTTTGCTTATCACCTGAAACACCTCCATTGTTAGAATTTTTTAGTATGTATACAGGAGGATTTCGTATAGCTACTTGCAACCTACCGGGAGCTCGTGTTAGAAACTTCCAGGGTCAGACCAGAACTGGCCCCTATAGCGATTACCCAGTCAGACAAGTAACGAAAAAATCGACGCTTTTATGCGTTACAAGCGCATATTCTAACGTGTTTAAAAAAAAATTATTTTGACAAAACAAGTTTAAAAGCATTAACATGTATCGATTCGTTTTTTTCTCACACAAAGTATTTTTTTAACGCGCTAAAATGTGCGCTTTTAACGCATAGAAATTTTTTTCGTTACTTGTCTGATTGGGTAGAGCTAATCTGTGCAACATTTTAGTACATATATAGTGGCATCCATTGTATTCTTTTACGCAGTGTGGGAGGGGATTCTTATAACTTATTCAGTCATAACTAAGGATGAACCGAGACCAACACTCATCAATACTGGAACCGAGGCTAACCGCGAACAAGAGAGAGAGCGAGACCAAAACCTCGACCACGACGACTGAGACGGAGATGGAAAGTCTCGGTCTGGGCATAACCCTATTCGTAACGAGGATTAGACAAATATTTGATCGGTGACATAAATGCTCGTTTCAAGCGGAAAAATGACGTTCAGGTCAAAAATGCTTAAAAACTAACTATACGATACGCACACAAAACAAAAAAACAGTAACGAAAATATCCCGCTCCCCCAATTACGTCAAACCAATGTAAAAATGAGTTTGTAGCGGAAAAATGAAAAACTCAATGGGAAAAATAGTTTAGATAAATGAAACATCATTTTTCCTATAGAGAAAAATGCGTTCGTATGTAATCGAAATGAACATACAGGTGTTCGCGATAAGAGAAAAAGGAGTTTGCACGGTACTAAGGATGTTGGGAAAATTTACAGTCGGTTAGATTTTGGTTGACTTTGGTTAAAAGAATGATGGGTAAATTTGCATGAAGATGGGATGCCGAAAATCATTTACGATATAAGCGAAAGCTGTCATACGTTTGTGGTGATGCATGACGAATGTCAAAGAGCTGATAAGAAATTTGGTATCAATGAATCATTGGAAAAGAAGGAATGTGAAGAATGAAAATGAAAATGAAAATGAAAAGTACTCACACTTGGTGTTTGTGAAGTTCTGTATAGCATGGAATATGTTTTATATGCACAGATATCTTTTCTGAACAGCGACCACAAAAGTACTCGATATGAATTTAGTACACACACGCTGACTTATACTTATATAGTTTGTCTTCTGTTATAGACAGAACGGGAAAAGAATTTATTTTTGACCTGAATGGCATTGTTCTGCTTGAAATGAACATTTATCTCACCGATCGTTTTTTTGTCTATTGCTGGTGGAGAACTAGGGGATCTTTAGAATAATTCACTTTCACATAGGTGCGCCGATACCGATACAACTTGTACCGACCGTAAAACCTATATAATCGATTCCTTACGTATACATCACTATGTACCACATTGTACAGGCTTCTCTTCGAGTATCTTGGCTTGCATCCGTATATACCGGTCTGTATCGGTGCATGTATCACCGTAACACCCTATATATCCCCGAAAAACCTAGAATTCTAGAATTAATGTAACGGCTTGTATCACTTTGTATCGAGTCTATACATCACGAAAACATCATATATACCCCAAAAAACATAGAATTCAACGTTTTTTGGGGGTATAATGCTGTTTTCGCGATGTATATGTAACGATAAATAGGGCTGTGTTGAGTTTATATCGTAATGACAAACTGGATAGAGGTGGAGTAGCTTACAGCCACTCACCGCAGTGATGTTTATTCGCTTCTTCACATATCCAGAGTGCAACAACTTCATACATAACACACGTATATATAGGAGAGAGAGATATTATAACAATGGAGAGAGAACAAAAGGAAGAGAAAGGAGAATCATCGAAGCGTACCATCAACAGCGGCACAGTATAGACTCGATATGTAAGCGACTTCTCGCTTTCCTTTGAGTATATGATACGTAGTTCAGTTGCCACTCTTCTTCGTTCCATTTCTCTTTACATAGTTATGCATATTTGTATCTTCTCTCGTTCTGTGAGGAGGAGCATGGTGAGCAAGGATGAGTCATGAGTTAAGTATGGGTGTTCGATGTATCTTTTTTTTCTTCTCTTCCACTTTTTACTTGGCGGAATAAAGCTCACATTTGGTGCCGTGACCCGGGTTTTTTGGTTTGCCAATTCATTAATCACTTATTCGAAGTTGTATTATGCCTTCGGACGATGATGAACGCCCTCCTAAAGAGCTGCTTCAGCCACTCACTCAGTTTCAAGCTCCACAATCGAATCTCGCCTCTTCACCTATGATAACTCAAACAGCTTCCGCAGTTAAAAAACCATATCAAATTACTTTTTCTTCACGTGATGAAGAAATAAAATATACACAAAAGCTCTTAGACAATTGTACACTTTATAATGGTCATCTGGATAATTTAATGCCTTGGCTAAGAGGCACAGGTGCATTTATTGTTAAAGAACGTTATCCAGAAACTGATCATCCATTTATTATTCGTTATTTACTAACCAATGATGCACTTGATTATTATCTAGCTCATGAAGACACGATCTTCAATTTTTATGATCTTCGTAAATATTATTACATAAACAAAATATATTAGCACCTTTACGTACCTTACCAACCCTTGATTCCATCGCCACTTTATCTTTAACTGCTGCACCTCCTGTTCTCACGTTTACTCAACTTCCTACTTCCACCAATGATAAAACAACAGCTATGAACACTTATACGTTCGCTCAATCACTAGAAGATTTAACACAAAATGATATTAGAAAAACTATTATTGAAGATATACAGCGAAGTACTACAAAATTTACTGGTGAACATCGACAAGACGTTCTTAAATGGTTGAAAATCATCGAAATTAAATTCGAAATGGCAGACATTCGAACTGTTAAGAAATTCGATTTAATTCCATAATTACTTGATAAAGGAGCACTTGATTGGTTTCAAGATAGTAAAACGAACTTTAAAAATTCTTGGAGCGTCTTCGTTGATCATTTCAAAAAAACATTTGATTCGCCAACTCGTGCTAGAATTGCAATGAAAAAGCTTAATTCTTATGCTCAATCACCAAACCAAGACGTTCGACGTTTCTGCAGTGAAATACGCAAACTATTTTCGGAAGCTGACTCCCATATGAGTTCCTCAATGAAATTAGAATTTTTATTAGCGAAAGTGAATCCTACTTATCGCCTTGATTTACTGAAACAGAAACCAAAAGATACGACCGAATTTGAATCAATGGCACGTGATATTGAAAATATCTATCTGGTACATGAAGTCATTGAACAAAATACACAGTTCAATACACCATGTTCTGCTTCAATGTCCACTCTCCTGCCTGATTCATCTCATCAACCCTTGTCAAATTATCAACAATCGCCTCGCACTACGAATTACAATAGTAATAACCGATACACCTCATCGTTACACAACAAAACTAATTACTCGCCACAATTTTCTTTCAGACCTTCTTCTAGACAACATCATACACCTTCGTTCCAATCTTCTACTAATCGTCAGTTCGGTAGTGCTGCCAATCCTCGCAACATCACTCGTCAAAATCTTTTCAACTTCCAGATTCCTTCTTCAACACAACAGTTACAACCACCGTTATCAACCCTTAACATTCCTCCACTTATGCCACCGTCGTCTTCCGTTCCTTCAACACAATTGTCGCAACCGACTTCAACAGTAGCTGCCATTACTTGTCAATGGTGTTCTCAATCCGGTCATTCAGCTCGGGATTGTCCTTTTTAAGGACGGAGCCAGTGAAGAATGGTCCTGTCTCCAATAACTCATACCTCCAACCATCCAAACCTTTTCTACTTTATGCAACATTAGTAATTAATAATCTACCGCTTCAAACTCTTATCGATACCGGCGCTTCTGCTACTTGCATCAGCTTTAACGTCCTTCAATGTATGTCCAATTTTCGTTATATCGATACCACCGCTGCTTCATTCGTCCTAGCTGATGGTGTTATCCCTCTTCAAAGCAATGGTTCAGTGGAACTTTCTATGCAATTTGGTAATGAACTCATCCATTTTCGTACTTTCGTTATCAACAAACTTTGCGTCGATCTTATTATTGGCATGGACTTTCTCATCATATGTAATGCCAACATTGATGTGAAGTCTCAACATTTATCATTAGAAATTTCCGGTCGTCGTACATCTACTCGTCTTGATGATCACTTTCGTCGCCCCTTAATTCCGCTTCACGCAAGCCAGTCTACTTTTGTTCCTCCTCATTCAACGGTTGCTATTTTAGTTTCTACTCCAATATCGTCATTATCTACCTATTTTATTCCTACCTCAAAATTTATTGAACATCCTTATCTCTCGTCTACTCGAAAACTTGTTACCACTCATCATCATCATTCGTGTTTACTTGCTACCAATTCATCTAATGTTCAACAATATATACCAGAATTTTTCTGTTTTGGTTATCTACTTAGCAAGCAGGCTAAAGAACCGAATTTTCTCAATCAAATCGCACTTTTATGTCGTCGTTACAACGAGAAGAAAAATCAACAAACTTCATCTCCTACTTTCACGCATCCTCAACTACCACAACGGATTTTTAATGATCCAACGCGTCTTTATCGTCCGATATCTTCGATAAACCAGGTGACACCTAACACTCTTCCTTCTTATTATTCTTCTCAATTTTTAGAAACTCGACATCTATTAACGAATCATCTACTTGATCATCAAGAAAAATCCCGATTGTCGACACTTCTTGCTCAATTTTCGCAGCTTTTTGACAATTCTCGCCGCAATATTTCCAATATAGTTGTCGAAAATGTTTTCAATACTGTTCCACATACTCCACCGTCTTTCCGACCTCATCGCAATCCACATCATCGTGAAGAAACACAACGTCTTATTGAAGAGTTTCTTGAAGCCGGTATTATTCAAGAGTCAAACTCACCTTATGCAACACCAGCGTTTATCGTCCCTCGAAAAGACGGTCGTCCGGGTCGACTAGTTGTGGATTATCGAGCGTTAAATAAAATTACTGTTCCCGATGCTAGCTCTTTGCCTCATACCGAGGATCTATTGCAGGAACTTGATGAGGGGTACAAATATTTTAGTCGCCTTGATCTCAAATCCGATTACCACCAGTTTCTTCTACCGCCAGCTGATCGTCCAAAGACGGCATTTGTCGTGTCTCAAGGTCATTATGAATTTCGTGAACTTTCCATGGGACCCCAAAATGCACCTGCTGCATTTCAAAAGATTATGTCCAAGCTTATGCAACCCTGTCGCGCGTTTTGTCATGTCTTCCTCGATGATATCATCATTTGTTCCAAATCATTCGCCGAACATATACATCATTTGAAGTCGGTCTTTGAAACTCTTGCTAAAGAAAAACTTCTGCTCAACGCTTCGAAATGCGAACTTGCTGTACAACGTGTTGTCGTCATCGGTCATAAAGTCTCTGAAACGTAACTTGAACTAACCCCTGACGCCATCCAAGCTATTTTGGATTTACAAGAACCATGCACACTTAAAGAAACTAATAAATTTCTTGGTGGTATTGCATATTATAGAAAATTTGTTCCTAATTTTGGTCATATCGCTGCACCAATCCACAAAATCTCTAATTTGACTAAAGACCGACGACATATTTTCAAATGGACAGTGGAACAATCGAATGCATCCCATACTCTCAAACGTTTACTTACAACCGCTCCACTTTTTCTTCATTTTCCCGTCGACGGTTTTCCACTGCACTTAGCTACTGATGCGAGTGGCATTGCAACTGGTGGTGTTTTATTTCAAAATGTCAACGGCCAACGTCATAACCTTTTTTATCACTCAAAAGTTTTCTCGCCAGTAGAACAAAAATATTCGGTTCCCGAAAAAGAAGCTTTAGCCATTTTTCACTGCTTACAACTTATGCGAACTCTAGTTTTAGGACGAACAGTTTATATACATACTGATCATTGTTCCATATGTGGCACGTTACAAAAACCTGTGAGCAATCGTCGTATTGAACGTGTAGCAAACTTAATTCAAGAATATCGTATTGCTGAAATGAAGCATATTGATGGTAAGAGTATTTGCCTTGCTGATTATCTTTCTAGACCTGCCGATGATCCACTTTTTGATGTTGATTACGGTCTCGAAAGCAAACTTCCATGTTCCAGTTCATCACATTTACACACTCCTCCTAAGCCGTCAGTGAATATTGTTGCTCCAATGATACTTCGTCCTCGACAGAAATTTCCATCACTAGGTGTATCTGATTTGGATAAAGTCGATGATCATTCCGATGCTTCGTCTTGTTCTTCTGAAGATTCGTTTACCACTTGTTCACCAATTATCACAACAACTCCTTCTCCAAATCTTTTCGATCCAAGTCAATTGTCTCATGAACAGGCTCAGGATTCCAATATTCGTAGTATTATTTCTCAATTAAATCAAAACGTACCTTGTGATTCTATATTGTCTTCGTCGTTTATTATGAAAAACGGTATTCTTCACAAACTTATTGCTCTTACTCCCAAATCCAAACTTCGATTATCCGTACCTTATCTTCCTTCGTCGATGGTTCGATCTCTCCTTACTGCAATACATGATGATCCCTTCCAAGGTGGGCATTTTTCAATTGATTAAATGCTGTCGAAAATACGTACTCGTTATTGGTGGCCCCACATGAAACAAGATGCTCATCGTCATGTTCAGGCATGTGTCCCTTGTCAACAATATAATTATTCGCGTCAAAAGAAACCTGGTCATCTTCAACCCATTCATGCAGTAGCTACTCCGTTTTCTATAATTGGTATGGATTTTTGTAGCCTATTCGTTGAATCACCTCGTGAAAATAAATACGTTCTCGTTGTTACTGATCTATTTACATATTTTGTTACTGCTATTCCGCTGTCTACCAACACTGCTGAAATTACTGCATTAACCTTATTTCGTCACATCTTCTGTCGATTTAGCGTTTGTTTCACCTTAATTACTGATCAAGGAACTCATTTTAATAACCATCTTATGCGAGCACTCCAACATCTCCTTGGTTATAATCACATACTTAGTACTCCGTATCACCTGCAAACGAACGGCGTTGTTGAACGTTTTAATGCATCGATGGTGGTTCAAGTCTCAAAACTTCAAAAAAAACACCACAACAACTGAGATGTCTACCTTGATGCCGTTGTTTTTTCATACAATAGTTCAAAACATAGAACAATCCAGTATTCCCCCTTCGAACTTCTTTTTGGGCGCTCGCCGAAACTTCCCATCGATTCACCTCGACGGTATTTTCACTTTGATCGTCCTAATGCTTATTTCGTACATCTTCAAAAAATCCTTCAAGTTTATCATCAGCACGCAAAGTTAAACATCCTGAACCAACAACGTTATCATAAACGCTATTATGATCAAAATCGTCAAGACCCTCATTATAATGTAGATGATCGGGTTTTCACAAGAATTTTTGCTGCTCGAGGAAAGTTGGATCCACGGTACTCTGCCGAACCAAAAATTATCGTTCAAACTAATCATCCCACATATATTGTGAAACATGAACCAAGTGGTTTCGAACATCGATATCATGTTTCTGACTTACGGCCCGCAACCTTAGCCTACGTTGACAATGATTCCATTTAATTAACTTTTTTAACTACCCAATTCGATGCCATCATTTTTACGTTATGATGCATCAACTCATCGTACACTCGTTGATTCCGTCATTTGTTAATCGTTGTGTGCTATGTTTATCAATCAAAATTAGTTTATGTTATCAATAATCGTGGCATGTGTTTCATTAATTATTTATCATCTACGTGGTGCTATGCACTATTCCTACAGGCATGAACGTGTGGCATAGATTGTAATCCCTTTTTTCTGGTTTATCGTTTTCTGCCTATACGTATCTCATTCTTCATATTCTTATATCTTTTTTTTCTTTTTAAAATGCTTCTCATTTTTAACTTTTTTCATTCATTTTGTTTGGTCTTCGTCTTTTCGGGGTTTATTTCGTGTTTCTCAAGCCTTTATCATCACTCGTGTTGCGTGTTACTCATGGCGTGCAGTTTGTTGTTTATTGCTAGCATAAGTATTATTCTTGTTACTTTTCCCTCTTTCTCTTTTGGTGGTTTACAGTCCTGGTTTTGTGGGACTTGTGCTGCTTGTCATCCCTGTCCGGCGTGTGAACCGCATTTGAATATGTCTCCTCGATGTGAATGTAAGGAGAATTTAAACAACTGAATCTGTAACTGCATTACGCAAGAGAATCTTCAAGCTTATCATACTTCGTGGAATATTCAACAAATGTCCGCTCAACATAACATCCATGTCGCTCAAATGAATAGTAACAATATCAAGCATCGTTTACTTGGTTGGATTATCGACTTATCGTGTGGTAATATTTTTTTATTGTGCTTTATCGTGATACTCATCTTTTGTGCTCCGACATGGATACGTAGTTATACTATCAGGCATTCCAAGATGAACCTCAAACGACGGGCCCGTCTTATCAACAAGTTTGATCTGGTTGAACGTTCCGCCCTTCCATCAGTGCAGCCGTCTTATGGCGATCTTTTAAAACGACTACACGACCAGAAACAACAGCTTGAACAATTTCCACGTGTTTTACCACCTATGCAGGCTTTATCAGCGACCCAACCCGCTATTTCTTAAATTGTGTTTTCGTTTCCTGAACTTTTTCTTTTTTTGTAAACTCTCTTGGGAAGGGGAAGTGTAAGCGACTTCTCGCTTTCCTTTGAGTATATGATACGTAGTTCAGTTGTCATTCTTCTTCGTTCCATTCCTCTTTACATAGTTATGCATATTTGTATCTTCTCTCGTTCTGTGAGGAGGAGCATGGTGAGCAAGGATGGGTCATGAGTTGAGTATGTGTGTTTGATGTTGTTTTTTTTTTGTTTTTTTCCCCTTTTTTATTGGTTGAATAAAGCTCACATAGTGATTGATATTCAAATGGGTAAAAGTGTATTTCCATATATTTCTATGTACAAGTATTTGGAAATACAGCAATTCATGGAAAATTCATTAGAAATACAATAAGAATAGTTGGAGACACAGAGGTATGCTTTTTCCTTGTTGATATCGAATTGTCTTCTTAATTGCATACCATAACTAAAAACTATTCACATCAATAACCACCGGAAAAAAACTTCCCAACCACGTCACACAACCTTTATAATAGTCTCGCGGCGTGGGGGCGCAAAGTGCCCCCCGCCCGAAGAGCCGCGACTCGCGCCCATTTCTACCTACACAGTAATCGGAAACAGTCACATAATCTAATAGCATTATAGTGCCGAGAAAAAGCCAATATGTTTGCGCATTACCGTAATAATTTAGATTAATGTGCAAAAGTTATAATGATTATAACTGATGGATGCCAGAACTTTTCAGTTATAGTCGGACTGGAATCATGTATCTATTCGAAAATCAATACTTGAATTTTGCACTAAAGTATATATCATCATGGGCCATACAATGAATGAGGTACCAATCATTAAATCAGATATTAGACTGCAAGTAACACGAGACGTAGGTGATCTAACGATTAGATAAATTAAACTAAAAGTAAAAGGCACGAGGCTATAAAAAAAAATTTTACTTTGATGCCTGCATATATCAGCAATATCGTGTCAATATCATTAATGAAATAAATGTTAGGCTTTCCTGTTAATAAATCTATTAGATGCTATGGAACCATAACAATACTTTCAGTAAGTCTGTCAATCAATTTTCAAAGTAAAATATAACTATATTAAAGTAATAAGTTTAGAATGAACTTTTTATCAATAAATAAATTTATTTAGAACGACCCTACATAGAATATTTTAAAATGTCTTGTGATTTATGTTACAGATTATTATCATAAATTTTAGACTAAAATTTTGCAAACAACGATTATTTTGTATGAGAAAAAAATATTAAATCAAATAGGTTTGGAACATTTTATAATCAACACAAGACAGCGCGATAACAAGTTAATCCAACGGTGTTATTGACGATTGTAAAAATTTAGGGTAATGGATATCATTATATTTGGAAGCTCGTGCTCTTAGAATACATTCGCTGAAAGAAGAATTCATCCGTCGAGGAATTGTAAAATGTCACGGAGCTGTGAATAACTTATTAAATGAAAGATGATTATGTTCGATGTGTAACCTTGGAAAAAGTATCAGTTTAGCAAGAAAGTAATTGAATCTAAGAAATTTTCATAATAAACTAACAACGAACACTCTGATCGAAATAGATCCGGCAGAATAGCTATTCAGTAGCGTGTGACACGATTTTTAGTAGGGATATTTCTATGGAATTCTGCTATATATATCCTAAATAGATCCGCTAGGGGATCGATTTATCTTAGAGAGTTAAATGTAAGTGAATGTACATAGAGAGATATGCATTGTTAATAGATCCGCGAAGAAATTAGTTGATTTTGATATTTCTATCGAGTTTTTTATCAAATTAATTTTTAGAACATTCTAAGTAAAAAAAGGAAGTGATCGAATAAGGATTCGAGCCTTAGGTATCTGAACTAAGGAGTCAACGCTCTTACCACTAAGCCATCCGGTGTTGTTAGATAATTGTGAAAGCTTTAGAACAATAGTTATGGATATTAATCAATTCTGTTATGTATAGAATATATCTGCTAGAAAAATAATAGATCCGCTGGAGGATCGATTTATCTTAGGGAGTTAAGTGCAGGTGAATGTCCATAGAGACATATATATCCTTAATAGATCCGCTGACATTAAAATGATTCGCTAGAAAATTATTTGCTCTGATAGGTGCTAGAATAGTCTTTGTTATAAAATAATATTGTTAGAATAAATCTGTTTGATAAAATCGATCCGAGGATAGTTTACACTGTGATATATACAGATTTATGTGATTTTTAAGAGCATTGTTTCACGTTATACCACATAGAGAAAAGATCCCGGAATTTTTAAGAGATCTAATAAATCCCAAAAAAATAAGTCCCGGTAGCCCCTCTATACTTTATTTTTGTAATAGATAAAAAAAAATAAATGAAACATTTAAATAGGATTCATTAGAATAAATTATTATGAACAAAAAAAAGTCGAGTTTTTATGAATATTGCTCGTTACATGTAATAACCAAATGAATTGCCATAGTTTGGATAACCACCAAATCCATTGACACCTGGATAGCCTCCAACAGTTTGACCAAAGGTTGGATTTGGATTTCCACCCATTCTATTGTCAAGATATTCTCCCAAGGGACCTATATTAAAATACATAATTAAAAAATATTCAATTACTATTTTTATCATTTTATTATCAATCTATACGAATAAAAAGTAATTCACTGTTAAGGCTTATGAGACAACTACGAAATTCATTACAATTCGAAGAACCTCTTTCGATGGCCACGAGTAAAATTATTTAAGAAAGTTTATTTTCGACTTTGTTTTTTACTATCTAAATTATAACAGCGAATTCAAAGAATGATATGAATTGCTAAAAGTATTGTACTGTTTAGATGACATCTCAAATAGATTTTGTTTCAATAATTTCTTTAATAAACGAATTAAATTGAAATAGTATTAGTAACAACATGTCATTATACTTACTGTTTAATCCCCCGGGAATATTTTGTTGAATCCACATATCCGACCCCATTTCTCGATTCATATAAGGATTATTATTATGATGATGATGATGATGACCGAACATTTTTAGTATAATAGTTACTAGATGAATGAAATATTAGCTTATTTTTCGTCAATGATTCAAAGTCGATTATATCATTTCTATTTATATGCAAAATATGAGAAAGACTAGAAAAATTTCTCATCCGTAACCAAAAAGCAAAATATTCATTGAATCGTTATAAAAATATTAGAAGAAAACAGGCGAACCATTGAAATATATATTTTTTTAAATTTTTGTTGATTTGATATTGATGTTTATACACCTACTACATGCAACGCTTTTTTATTTTGATTGTAACTTGTCAGACAATATTTCTTGTTTTATTATTGGTTTATTTTATCAAGTAACATTCTAAATGTTTTTTTTCTCTTCGTCAACCAGTGAAGCGCGCTAATTATATATTATATGTACGTAGAACATGCATCATTATTATATTTTTATATTCATCATTTACTACGTGCTAGCAATATCTTAAATAATAGTTTATTTTCACAACCTCATGAATTAAAGTAAAAGCAATGATTTAATATTTTGAAATAATGGCATTAATTTGAAAATATTTATCATGATTTAAGCTACTATATATGATAGAACTGCTGGTCTCGGATTTCGAGTTTTTGAAAAAAATAGGAATTTACATAGGATGAAACTTTTTTAAAATGCAAGAAAGGACATGAAAAATGAGAAAAATATAGAACATTGTAAATTCGTTGCGTAAATTCGAATTACATGTTTTTTCAACGTTTCTTGAATCAACTTGATGGTGTGAGTAGTGGTTCGTCGTGTCTTTATGCACACACCCCACACATCCATCCCATTTCAGTGATTTTGTTTGAACATGTTTTAAATTTTATTTATGTTTGAGACATCATGAATTATTTTTGATTTCTTAAATCAATGGTTTGCGAGAACATAAAACTTTAAAACAACAAATGCACTATAATTGATACAATTTAAATTGGTTTTCTTTTCTCCTGAAAAATTATTTTAATGTTAATTTATGTCTGAGTGAACGAATCAGTGGAGAGGAATTACCAAAGTTTTCCTCAAAAAATGATTCAAACAATTCATAAGATAATATTGAATAAATATTTACTGTTTTAGAAAGATTTTTGTTTAATCTCTAATAACTAGTTTTGACGTTTGTGCAAAATGTTCATATTAAAGTTTTCTACAAGATGTTTCTTGTCATTGCTGCACCAGTTGCATTGTTTATTATTGTTTGTTCCTTTGTATTTTTTCGTTCTCATCAGTGTCTTCCTGGAAGATTGCATTGTAAAGAACATCGAACAAGAAAATAATTTCTTTTTTCAGGAAGTGAAATAAATAATGTTTCTCAGCATTCTTATAAACAGTCAAATATCGTTTTGTACCACGCAAAAGGCAATCGTAAGTTTCGAACAATAAAATTATTTGTTGCCATCCTTGTTTTTGCTTCGCGATGTAATGTTTCATACTAGTGAAGTTTTATTATCAACCTTAGATATTGCATCATGGTTCAATATAAATTAAAACGAAACTTGTTGAACTGACGAAACGTCAAAAATCAAGTTTCTCAAATTGAGTAAAACAACAATATCAAGAAACTACTTATAAAACAGAGTAAATAATAGAACACTCGTTTTTTTTTATCAGAAACAGTTAAAAGAAAACTATATTCTAATATAAGGATAGTCATTGTCAAAAAGACAAACAACATTTGCAGAATATATCAATATCTTATACGTTCATTGTCACGTACATAGTTTGGGCTCTATTTTTCAGATAGCATGTTACTAAAATCAATAAATAACTTCAGAATTTGTTTGAGTAGACTTCTATAAAGTACAATATTTTTCAGCTACAGTTATTTTTTATTCGTTCCACTATCCAGTATGCAGCTTTTGAAAGTTTTATATGTCGACAAGATAAAATTTCAACAATTGAAAATATTCTTATAGAAATTATTCATCAAAGTTCTCAATATCTATTCAATAAGAATACAGACTTTATAAAGAAAAAAAAGATGATACTGAAAAAATATGATTTTCCATTAAAGTCATATCTCATGGCTAAGGATAATAAAAATTCGATCAGCTCATAAGTATTACATGTACAACTATATCATATCAATAAAATAAAACCGAAGTATTCTTACTAAAATGAGAATATCTATGGCGAGTTCTTCGTTCGTTTCATAGAAACAATCATCTGTAAATGTTTCCTTCTTATGACTATCGTGTTCTGTTTAATAGGAAAGATAAAACAAATTATTCTTTTGTGTGAGAAATCATTCTTCTTAGATAAATTATGTTCTTAATGAATCAAATTTTACTCTCAAGATAAAGTATACTGTTTTGAATTTAAAATATTATCTAAATTAAATGCTCTCACTTCTTCTTTTAGACTATTAATAATGTAATAGAATGGAGTCGAACAGATCCCATACATTATCATGTTTTTTTATTTTAATTTTCATGCTGGCCTCAGTTACTTTTGTTCCGAAACATTCATTTCATCTTAAAGAATCCATCAATTACCAAAATATTAGAAATATATTGATTTCATCTTTTCTTAATACTAAAAGTGAAAATAAAAATCTCCTAAAAATTACTGTCGGATGAGAAAGATAAGAAATTTAAGGTGCTATCGAAAATAAAATGCTCTTTTTTTCTTTATCCAACAAAATACAATTTATGTTTTTTGAAAACATGATTTTTTTAAAGGGAATTCAAAGATTATAGAAAAGATTTCTTTCTTCAGCTCTGTTGATAAACCTGTCAATTCAAATATTTTCTTGATTTATGTCTATGCAAACAGTCATAAATATGCTTATGGAAATTTCAAATATTTTATTGAGACAGCTGTACGTGAACGAGATGATGTTGATTATGTTTTTATTTTACAATAAATTTATAATGAAATGATAAACAAAGGACAAATGCCTTTATTATTGAAAAGTAATGCTTATTATATTCAACATAAGAGCCGACGAATAGTCCCTAGTAATTATGGTTATCATCATCATCATTATCGTAAACCCAACATAAAACAATATAAATATTTTATATTTATGAATTATTCTGTTCGTGGTCCATTTTTCCACCCTACTTTTTGAAATTTAGATTAGATTACGAAAAGCAATTTAAAAACAAAATTCTACGGGTATGACATTTTTACAAAACGTCTCAATACAAAAGTAAAATTAGTCGAGTGTACGATTAGTTGTGCTATTGCAGCACATGTTCAATCTTACTTTTTAATAACTGATTTTTATTGAACCGTCTGTTCTATTTCAATCTGATACAATAAACGCTATTAAGTGAAATAGCCATATCAAGTCGTATATCAGAAGCAGGTTATATGATTGATGGTTTATTAACTAAATATCAAACAATAGATTTTTCTAAAAAAAGCAAATTATCAATGTAGTATTTATGAAAATCGTTCTGCCGATAAAAATATGGTTGGAACATCATCGGGATCATTTGAAGCTGTTTTTGTTAAATATAATGATAGAGAATCGACAACTGATGCACAAGAAAGAACGAAATTATATCAAAGTAAACAATAGAACTCAATGGTAATTATTGCTACAAAGAGTTTTTTTTATTAAAAATTTAGATGCAAAATATATTTGAAAGTTTTAAATAATTTATAGAGTTTACTTCTAATAATATTAGCGAGGTGCTTAATCCGTTTGTCCTTTTATCCATCTAGACTGGTCCAAGATATTTCAGAGCATTATGTTCTGACTAGTCCGTATGTCCTTTCAGTCGTCTAGACTGGTCTGTTTATTCATTTACTCCCACCTGGACTAGCCCATAGCAGGGGAAAATATTGTAAAAAATGGAGAAGAAAGTTAGATTACAACATTAGAGACACTTATAATACTATTAAAAATCAGACTGGCGTCTTGACGGCAGTTCATAATACAGTAAGCCTTATGTCTATGTATATATTCTAAAATGCAAATGGGTATCTTCCATATAGCATGCGTGCAGAAATCACTTGATGGAAACGGATTCTCCTTACCCGAAAATGCCTTTAATGGTAGCTAGAATGACTGCTCCTAGGCTAATATAAACTGTTGTATGTTCGTAAAGATTATTCTATTTTTTAAGTACACCGTCAGTCTGAATTCTGAATTATCTAAATAAATATTAGATAGAAAAAAATTGTTGAATAAAATGTCCTGCTGAATTGCTAAATTAATGACTAAAACAAGACAAAAACATGAGATAAAATCACCACAGTTTTCAATTTATTTTATTCAATTTCATCTGAATAATTTTGGAGTTTATAAAAAAATATTTTTTATTCACATGAAAAATTGAATAAAACTTAGAAAAAATTCGTATTTTAAAGCATCTTAAAATGACTAGAAATACTGATAAATTGATCTCTCGATCAAATGGCTCAATGGTCTGAACGATGGGTAAGTAATAGTTGGTATGTGTGTTCGAATCTAGTTGTAGTCATAAAATATTTCAGTTTAGACTAGTCAGGATCTCGTCATTATATAAGACCACAACTCGTCATGTAAAGCGTCATGGACGCTCTTACTTTTATTTAGAATCATATTTTAGACGGGCGTCAGGATGGTACAGCATGTCTAGAGTCTAGATTTTTTTTTCGAAAAAGACTACGCATGACAAATAGAATGACTCCAGTCACTTTCATAGTCCGAACGGGCACTATGGACTACGAGATTTCAGATTAGTCATGTACTAGGACATTTTGAGAAAAAGACTAGACTGGACGGCCGACTTGTCTAGAAAAAAGACTAGTCTTTTTACTAGTCTTTTGGTCACCTCGGTACGATTGTGCTTTAACTATTTCTTTCAATCTTTTGCCGATAGATTTTTTATGTTTAATAAATAAATTTAATTGCAACAATAGATATTGAAAGAATATTTCTGAAATAAAATACTGATTTCAATTTTAAATGAACATAAAATCATAATCAACCATGGACCTTAACTCAATGAAGTGTATTTCTTATCATGATAGTTCTTTTTTGCTAACATTCAGAAGGAAATTTTCATAGTTTAGGTTGCTATGAAAGTGGGGGGGAAATGAATAAATATTAAGAAGTTTCATTTAAAGTAAATTTCTACACAAGTCATAGACTTAACATTTGATGATGCTAATTAAAGAGATTATTTCATAGCATGCGCATAAACTATTTTATTCAAGAAGCCATACTGACAATTGTGTTATATATTTGAATCAATGATAAATAAAAACTGAAGCAACTACAAAATTTTTGAATATCATTTTATTGTAAATATAAATTATGATTCTTATTAAGTGAAATATTCACTAAAATTAGTCTAATGAATGTAATTCTTTCATGGATATCATATAACCACAGAAATAGTTTTTAATGGTAATGAATATAAAATGATTAGAGATTATAATTTATTAAATTTCAAAATATTGGAATAAGAAATGCAATAATAACTTCATAGCCTTAATTTGAAAACAAAATAAGCGATGGAATCATTTGATTAATTAAATTATGAATTAATCTATTGGTTTATTAAACGAAAAAGAATCAATGTGGTTGATTTACAAATATAGAAAAGCAAATTTATTTTTATATATTGCTGATTATTATCGATCAACAAAAGACCACAATAAAATATCTATTCTAATTCTTCTCATGTTTTTAGGTATAAACAGCGTTGATTTTCTTTCATATTCATTATACTTGCATAATCTTATTATTTTCTTTGTCCTTTTATTTTCATTTTATTTCAAAGATAGTTGATTTCATCGGGTATTGGAATTTTTAATAAGTTGAAGTCTCTATCAGCATATTTTTATTTTATTTATTATTGTCAAATAAGCATTGATTCAAGCGAATTAAACAAAATTTCCTAACACATATTGTAGTTTAAATATTAAGTTTATGTAAAAAGAAAGGAAATGTTTAATATATATTGAACGAATTTCCACATGATGAACAAAATTTCGCTGATAAGTCTGGTCTTGGTTGACTGCAATGAGAACAATATCCAGTCAATTGAGCAGAATAAGATGGAGGCGCAGCATAGTTATAATATCCTCCAATAGACGATGTTGGCAAAGGAACAACTTGATTAGATTGATATATTCCACTTCGTTCAAATGCAGCACGACCAATATCAATAACTAACTATAAATAAATAAAAGAATTTCAATTAGAAAGAAAAGTTTTACAGTTTTATTCTAATTAAATCTCAATATATGATATTCAATTGTTACTATTTTAATTTATATCCAAAAGAGACAGATTTGATTTTTATTGCTATTTCATCTTGATAAATAAAAGTTTCTGCAACATTCTTTTTAATTATGTATAATTGATATTGTTCAAATAAATGACGAATTTTTATAGATAAAAAAAATACTTGCATGATAAATAATATGGTTATTATTATAATATCCATAGCCACCAACGAAAGTTCGTGAAATATTTAATCGCCAGCTACATGGTATTGGTGATCTCGATGAATATTTCATTGATTCTTCAGTAATTGCTTGTCGCATTCGTGCTACACGCCTCCATTGTACTGCACAACATCCAAAAGCGAAAAACAGTGACCCAAAAGTAGTTAAAGCTATTCCTACACCAATCAAGACAGGAAACCTATATTCACGAGAATTAACATTTGCTATGCCACCGATAATAAAAAATATCATTCCAGCTATTATACACAAAGCAAAACATATGCCAAGAATCATTAGAATTTTATTTGAAGAGATTCTACCATTAATTTTATTAATTGATTCTTGAAATTCATGTTGACTAATAATACCATTTAAATGTATGGGATATGTTGAATCAAATTCTGCTTTCAAACAACCAGCTAATAAATAACTAAATATTTGAGGAAAATAGAAAAATGAAATAACTCACTTTGAACCATTGGAACATAAACTGAATTAGAATTTACAGGTACTCCGATCATTTTTGTTTTTAATCTTTTAATCGAACGGGATTTTTAAAGAAATCTAACCAATAAGAAAAATAATCTAAAATTAGTCACTCGAATAATGAAACCATTAAAAAATAAGATTGATTCAAATGATACGCGATTCTTTGATTTTAGTTGTAGCTCCGTTACCTGAAATATTTAGATTTTAATGAAATCAATTTTTCAAAATTCCTATACGAATAACGAGAAGCGAAAGAGAAAATTACAACTATTTATTTCATGCAGTCAAATGTTACTAGAACATTGTTTTAGATCATTTCTATTCTCTATGACGAGTCATCAAGTATTATCGAGTACGTTTATCGATATCATGAATATACTTGAAAAATCTAGATATGAAATCAAAAGCTTTGAATCGAATTGCAAAAACTGATGAACCAAATAAAAAAGCAGTATTTTCTCTCACTTTGAATATAGTCAATGACAACAACGTCATTTTAATTTTATCAGATGATGTCACCATAAATGTCAATTGAAGAATATAACTATACGAGTTGTTCTATTCAGAAAAAGATTTTTTCTTTCCTTATCTTTAACAGTTAAAAGGTTATAAATATATATAGGTATGGAAGAACATCGATGATTAGTATCATAAATACAAAAAAAAAGAATAGAATTGATTAAAAAAACTGTACTAGTAAAAATTGATGAGTTTAACGAGAAAAATAAGTATACGAACGAAATTATTTTCAATAAGAGTAAAAGAAACAGGACTTTTTCGTGATCAAATATTATCGAACCATTTGAAAAAGTTAAATTTACACTATAGTATATAGAAAATATAACTCTGTCCATCCATATTGTTATGTTTCGGTAAAAAACTTTTCTTTATTTTTGTTTTTGAAAAATTTCAAGATAAAAACAATTTCATCATATGTAACTGAGATTTCAATTGAGATTTTATTGAAAATTTACAAGAACTTTTCAAATCGTAAGTTTTATTCATTCGTTAACTTCATACTTTTCAAATAGGCTAGATTATTGTTTTGAGTTTTGATGATATTTTTTTATATATTTAAGGAAAAAAAGTTATTTAACGTTGTATTTATTGCTATAAGTATCAAATGTCAAGTTAACAGACAACGTATAGAAGTAATTGATTGCTAATTGAATAACTGACCACAAGATGAACAGTATTGAGCCGTAAGACCACGTCGTGCTACGCCACAGCGAGAACAAAATCCTATCATGTTGATGGAATATGCTGGAGGTGCATAATTATCATGTTATCCAAATGATGATGTTGGTTCAGGAACTATTTTATTTGAATAGTGTGTTTGATTAACATTGCCTTGTGAAGTAGAACAGCCAATATCAATTACCAACTGAAAAAAAAATATTAATTATAAATATAACAACAAAAAGTTTTGTTCTTAGTCTTGAAATGAATAATATATTGATATGTGTTTTTTTATTTCCGACTCTTAGTTCTAACTGATGATATTCTGGAGAAAATAAAATAAAACAACGATACATACTTGATACAACGTCTGTTGACTATTATTATAATATCCATAGCCACCAAACAAAGTACGTGAAGTATCTAATCTCCGACTGCATGGCGTTGGCGATCTCGATGAATATTTAATTGATTCTTCAGTAATCGCTTGTCGCATTCGTGCTACACGTTTTGCATCCATGACACACACTCCAATATCAAAAAACAATGATCCAAAAGTAGTTAAAACAATTCCTACGCTAAGTAGTATATAAAAGGTTGTTATAGATTTAACAACAAATAGTCCACCAACAACACAAAGAACAGTTCCAACTAATGTTGCAAGAATAAAAATAATCAAAGAAATAATTAGAAAATGAAAAATTAATTTTATTAATTGATTCTTGAAATTCATGCTGACTAATAATACCATTTAAATGTATGGGATATGTTGAATCGAATTCTGTTTTCAAACAACCAGCTAATGAATAAATAAATAAATGAATATTTGATCAAAACAGAAAAGATGAAATAACTTACTTTGAATTATTGGCACATAAACTGAATTAGGATTTACAGGTACACCGATCATTTTTGATTATTAGATTCAACTAAAATAAATTGAATCAAAAACAACTATTTAAGAAAGAAATTCATCTGATATTTATTTCCTCATCCCAATCTCATCGATAAACAGTAAAAAATAATATTTACAGACAAAATTTACATAAAACATTTTTTATCATCATATTAACTAACTAAATAAATAGATCTGATATTCTCCAACAGGTTTAAAATGTTTTTATCTTTCTATATTCGGCATGTTTATCTTAAAATTTATTATTTCTTCGTATCATCAACATGTAGTTTTTAAGAGAATAAATCTTAACCAACCGACGATGATATCTGTTAAATTTTCGTTTATTAATCTTACATATCATGACGAGTATTTACTCATATTTATTTCATTGATAACAATAACGATCGAAAAGATTGTCTCTATGTATGCATATCATCAATATTAAAACGAAAGGAAACAATTAAAAAATTTAAATAGCTAAATAACAAGCATGAAAAAAACAAAATATATTATAAATAAATTATGTTATTTTTTCTTTCTATCTATAATCTGTGTAGAAAATTATTTTTCTTAATATTGATACAAAAATTTTATTCTTCGAAATAAGTTTTTCATGCCAATATCATTTTTATGAGACATGTATTTGTTGAATTATCGACAATTAAAATTTTCTATTTGTCTTAATATGCAAAAATGGTTTTTTTTTCTATCAAGATCGATGTCCAAAAAGTTAATTATTCTACGTTAATTTTCTTTTTGTTTATATTTTTACAATAAGACAATCTGCTAAAATAATAAGAAAGTTAACAAATAGAGAAAAAATTTAAATGTTTAATAATTCAAATGAATATTTATCTTTCAATTGAACTTTCTATTAAATAAATTTATATAATAAATGATAATGCTTCATTGATTATAATTGATTATAAAAAATATACAAGGAAAAAGACACTCTTATCGTTAGAGTTTGAACATAATTTATTTTATGAAAAATTATTGATCATCATTATTATCAAATAATATCATCAAAATAAAAGATTTTAGCAAATATTTCATATCAAATAGGGGTTCGAAAGAATATATACGTATACGAGTAGAATTCATAATAATTTATAGCTGATAACTAATAGAAACTCAATAAGAAGAATAAATATTCAAAGGTAATAACTAAAAATATCTTCTTATACGTCCTTGATCGAGGGTTATAGTGATATTATTTGTTCAAATATATAACTTGCTATTGTTTTTCAACATTATTTTTTTAATTTTTACTACATATTTTTAATCCTGCATCAGTTATTTACCGAAATGTAAATCACGAAACTAATGCTTTTTTTACTCGATTATATTGGCCTAGTTGTTGTTTTGTTTTTCGACGAAAATTTTTCATTCATCACAATGATAAAAAATGAAGCAAAAAGAAGAAACAATCACAACACGATTTTTGTTTTTTTTTAAATCTTAATCAACATGAAATAAAATTACATAGAAATTAAGTTAACAAACAAAAAGTAGATTTAATCGAATTAGATAATAATTTGCATGAATAAAAAAAATTAAAGAAGAACGAATTGAGGATTAAAGATAAAATGTTCTTATCATTGCTTAGTTAAATCTATGTACTATTAGATCGATCCCAGAGAGAAATGAAAAACAACTAAAATAAACTGATCCAATGCATTTCAGAATAAACTTGCAAGTACTTTTCTGTACACATAAACATATTCGTTCTTTCGATCAAATATGAATAACATAATTATTTGCTTGTAATTTTTCTTGATGTGATGACAGATTTATAAACTGTATTATATTTCAAACAAGTTAATTTAAATCAATAGACACATAGACCATCGTATGAATAATAAATAATTTTATATATTAACTGCATATATTTTCGTTTTGATTTAATTAATCAATAAAGAAAATCATAATATTATTGATGTTTTCTATTATGTTCTTATTGAAATATGTAAATGGCATTATATCATTTGATATATATATATATATGCGTTTCCTAAACGTGATCCATCTGTTTGGTCTATTTGTTAAGGTTTACCTACTGAAGAGCAAAATTATACAATGAGCTGTTGCATTTTACAAGTTCCTTTGAATTATGCTCAAACAAATCAAAGTTCAATATCTATTTCAATGCTACTTCTTAGTCCACCCAATCAGAAAAATAATTCTCTATTTGTTCTAAGTCAAGGTCCTGGTGAATCAGGACTAGGTCTTGTTTCAATTATTGACCAATTAATACCTGTAGAATATGGAATCACAATAATATTTCCAGATCATCGTGGAACGGGTTTCTCAAGTCCATTAGGTTGTGCTGATAAAATTCACAAATTATAACAATCGACTGTACAGAATACTTAAAGAATCGATGCACTATTGAAGGATTAAATCAATTTTCTATGACTTATGCTGCTCGTAATTTAGCTATTCTAATTGAAGCCTTTCAATTGATTGGCCGAATATCAATTTTAGGTGTATCATATGGTACTTATTGGTTAAATCGTTTTTTAACCATTTATCCAAATTTGGTACAACCACCTGTGATGAATAGTCCATTAAAACCACTCTTGCATTCATTCACAATGTATAATATACGAGCAGCTTCAATGACTTCGCAATTTCTTCCTTATTGCCATTATCAAATTGAATGTATTAAATATTTTCCAGTCGATAGACCTGGTGTAATGCTTTACAAAATTTTACAAGATATTGATTCAAATAATCAACTATGTATAAAGAGGTATTTAAAAAAATATAATCTTACATCACGTTTAATCAAATCAACTTTGTTTTCAATGTTTTAATCGGCAGCAAATTACTATGATCGATCTATTATTCGCACAGTTATATTTCGGCTCAATAGTTGTAATAAAGAAGATGTTCTTACTTTAGATTTCTTTTTTCAAGCTCAAGGTTTATCATCGTCTTCGAGTGATCCATTGGCAACTGATGTCAATACTCCAGTACTTAATACTGATGTTCTTTATTATTACATAGCGTTTTCTGAACTTTGGTTATATTTTAATCAATCTGATATCGATCAACAAGCATTGAATACTTTTCAAAATGCTACTATAATAGCTCCAAATCTTCGCTCTGATTTAATTGCATTGAGAGATGCATGACCAAAATATCCGTTAGACGAATATCGTTATCTTCTTGCTAATTCATCAATACTTATGATTGCAGCTCAATTGGATGGCGCAACACCACTCGATTTTGCTTCTCATCTGGTATCAATTACGGGGAAAACGCGAACATTCAATACGGTTCCTTGAAGTGGACATATTATTCAACTTTTTCTTACTATAACAGGATGTACTTGACCACTTCATTTAATTCTTTCTTGGACATTGCCATCACTTTTCCCAAGTGAATGGAATAATACTTCATGTGTAACAGATTTGCCGATAGTGATTGATTTTGTTGGTGAAACTGAAATGGTACAAATGAGTTCACTAAAATTATTCAACATTACTCGACCATTTGAAGATATAAATACTACTCAATCTGCAACTCAAGTATCGTGTCACTGTTTAGTTACATCATTTATTATTATTGCTTTGCATTTCATACGTCAATCGCTTTTTCTCTAAAGAAAGAAAAGAATTTTCTTGAATGATTTCATTTTTTAACATGATTTGTTTTTCGATAACAAACTAATCATGTATGCTCTTATGCTTTTTCGCATATTTTCTTTCATAGATAATATACTCGTTTTTGCAGCAAAATATGTTCATTCAAATTTATTTTTGGAGTTGATATCAACGTTGCATAAATAGGTTAATATGAATTATCATCGATTTTTAGGATTCTACTCAATTTGAATACTCATATCAAGAACATGAGTCGTGATTCACTATGGTGCTACCTCTCTTAACTTTGTATTCTTGTGATCATGAATATGCATTTAGTAGAAGAATTATATTGGGCTTGAAAAAAGGCAAGATCAGAAAATAACATCAAAGAAATGGTTGAAATCGAATGGTCGGTGAATCTAGTTTTTCTCTCAATCATTTTTCGTTCTATTGTTATAAAATAAATTTGACTAGCAATTCAATTAGAAGACATAAAACAATCGATATGAATCCAAATAAAAGTCATATATTTCGACAAAATATTTGATAGTAAACGATATTTCAGTCATTATCGATCAAAAATCTAATTAACTTAATTTATTCTCACATTATAATTCTAACTAAGTTGAGATTAAGTCTAATTAAAGGACAATTTTTAATACTTGTCCTCACTTTATTTTACATTCGATAGTCTTTGTGAAATTCAAAGAGAATTTCGGCGCTAGGACAGATGGTCGCAGGACAAAACGTTGCAATATATCTCAGAGTTTTAAATTGCTAATCCACAAACCGCTTCGAAAAATACGCACTATGAACTTTGATCTTAAAGTTTCTGTCGTAGTAACCAGACAGCTCCCAGTAAGTTACAAATATCGTGAACTTCTGACAACAACCTGAACTTAAACCTGTACGGAAAAAGTCATCTTGCGAATCCGAAGACGTGGCAGCAACATCCAAATAATAGCCTTGAGCATCATCTACACTTGTAGACGCCAGCACCCACACCCATCCAATTATAATTTATGTTTTCTTTATGTAAATATTTTTTTCGTATCACTTTTATTCAATTGAATAAATATTGCAGTAATTAAATATATTCTAATTTTAATCCAAAGCATTTGAAGATTAAAAAAAAACTTTCTTTTTATATTTTGCATTATGATATCTATATGATCTTCTAAGAATTTTGCAAGATATATTTTAGATAGATTAATTATTTTATGTGTAAAATAAAATAAAACCAAACACAGGAGTAAACTAAATGAATTGTCTATTTACTACCGCAGAAATTGTGAACAGTGGTATATTCAACCGAAACAGTACGGGCAAATACGGCCGTATTCCACTGCTCGTTTTCATTACAATACACTACGGTTTCGTCACGGCCTGTATTTTCAGCGCAAGCGATCTTAATTAAATCGTAAATTCGTCTGCTATCACACACAACAACACCATTACGTTCTGCATTTTAACCGAGCTTGAAGTAGTTTCTTCTTGTAGTATTTTAAAAATGAATTTATTAAACAATTTGGTTATTATAAAAATGAATATTTTCAAATTTTTGTCTATCTTAAATACTGTGATTTATGTTCTTTTTTTAAATTGTACAATGTAATAAAGAAAAAAAGAAAACTTTGATAATTCGAAGAATAGAAACCTGTAAAAGAACAAAATTGGTGAAGGTTATTTCAGTACATTTCTTTTTCTTGTTTATCTTATAAAAAAAATAATGTTGAATCGCAAGTGAAAAGCAAAAATAAATTTCGTCGTTGGAATCATGTGCGTTTTTTGATCGGTCTTCCTTGATTTGTATATTTTTCTTTTCTTCTCTATTAGCTCCTAAAGTGTATGAGGTTTGTCATCAGAACCGATCAGAATAAGCCATTTTTTTCTTTAGTCGTCGATGTGTCCTTTTCAAAGTCCAACAGATAGAAATTGTATTATTTTGTGTCTCGTTTTTATTCTTTGATTAACAAATTTATTTTACTAAAATAAAAATAAAAACTATAAATTAATTTGATGGCCATGCTCGAATATTTGCCAATGTTAAAAGAAGTTTTTTAGGTAAAAATTATGGTTAAAGAAGATTCATTTGCTAGAAATAATAAACAATGGAATGCTCGAACAGCTTGTATTGTCCCACATGATAATATTTATTATGGAAAATGCTTAATTGGAGGTGCTCTTGCATGTGGTTCAACACACCTTCTTATAACACCTCTTGATGTAACAAAATGTAACATGCAGGTTTGAACATTTCTATTTATTTATTTATTTATTTATTTATTTATCTATTTATCTATTTATCTGTTAGGTAGATCCAATGAAATACAGAAATTTAATTGGGAGTCTGAAAACAATAATACATGAAGAAGGTAGTCGAGCTATATGGAAAGGATGGGAACCTACTGTATTGGGTTATTCTCCTCAAGGTGCTCTTAAATTTGGTCTTTATGAAGTTTTTAAAGATGCGTTATCAAATCTAGTTGGCTATGAAAATTCTCAAAAATATCGTGAATTAATTTGGTTGAGTGGTGCGGCAGCATCAGAATTCTGTGGTTGTCTTGCATTATGTCCTATGGAAATGATAAAAGTTAAAGTTCAAACAAGTGTACCAGGTACATTTCCTACAGCGTTGGTACCAGCGACTATTGAAATGAATAATAATAGAAACGTAACAAGATTTCCATATGGATCTATTGTACCATTATGGTCAAGACAAATTCCATATACTGTGACGAAATTTTACTTTTTCGAAAAGGTTTTATTTTCACTAAAAAGAATATATTACTTTACTTGTTTTCCAAAATTCCAATTATTTATTTTAGGCTGTTCAACTACTTTATACTCATGTATTTACAGAACCAAAAACAAGTTACTCGAAAACAACACAATTAGGAATAACATTTACTGCAGGTTATGCAGCTGGAATTGTTTGTGCTATTGTATCTCATCCAGGTGATTCAATTGTTTCATTGATGGCTAAACCAAATTATAGAGGAAAATCAATTAAAGAAATAACTCGAGATTTTGGTCTGCTTAATTTATGTACGAAGGGTCTTGGAACAAGAATTATTATGATTGGAACAATAGCTGCTCTTCAATGGTGGATTTATGATACATTTAAAGCAGCTATGGGGATGGGTACAACTGGTGGAAAATAGATTTTGTCTTTTTATTTTAACTTTAATAGGATAAAGCATAGTTTAAATAGAAAACAAATATTTTTTTATAATTATATTTTGTTGTAGTAATAAAAATGCTTCTGTTTAAATTAAAATTATCTTCCAAATTCTAGTTTTGAACTATTGATGAAAACTTTTAAAATAATTTAATGATTTCACTATAAATAGTGATAGGATTAATCACGAATTTCATTGAAAGTACTTTTAGCATCATAGAATTTGAGTTTAGTTATGTATATTAAATATTTTGTTTATGCATATGCTAACCATAAAGATTTGATACAGTTTGAGAGGAGATTTCAAATATTTTTAAAACCTAAAGGTTCCCTATCATTTTATTTTTTAAACTTTTTTCAAGCTGAGATTTTTTATCCCAATCCTTTCGGCCTAGGAAATATATTAAACGCTTCATTCTGCTTTCGATGATGTTCAAAAAGGACCAGCTTTATTGTAAACACATTCATTTATTACGCAAAAAAAAGAATCTAAATGTCATTTTTGACTCAAAATATTGGCAATGCTTAATGGTATTGTTCTTCTTTTTAATATCTTTTTGCCAACAAACATCTGTTTGAAAAAGAACACTATTTATTATCGAACAGACCTTCGATGTCAACTTTTTCATCGATATTTTTATGATTTTTGCTCTTTTTTCTCAATATCGATAATGATAATATGTATTTCTTATAGGTTTCATCTCTTATTAAAAACACTGAAATTGTTATTCCCTAAATACTTTAGAAACTGATAATCGAGAGTAATGATTATAGTCGAGCGACATCACTTTAACTTCTACTATCATTTTAGTGTATCTAGATCATTGATTTTTGTTATATTCAATGAATCTATCAATAAATTCTTTGAATTAAAAGAAATTATTGAGACAGTACTATTAAGACAAAGATTTATTTTAAAATTTTACACCAATCATGTTACTGGACTAGTTTATTTTCTTCTCTTCTTTCTCGACTATTTATCTATAATTAATGAGATTCTCGATTAAAATAGAAAATATAATTTACCTGGAAGCCTTTTTTTACAGAAATCTTCATTTTTTTTGAAACTACATTTACAACTTCTCTGTGATGAATCTTTATAATCTTTTATTCAATAATATATTCGACTAATAAATGACGTTATTCATGTCCGTAGCTGAAGTTCATTGAGTTCATATACATATAACTAAAAGAAAACCATGGAAAAGTTTTATCTTTGGTTTTTAGAGTTATCTTTCAGATATCCTATTGTATAGGTAAATAATTCACTAAAGATTCAATTATTGTTTAGTCTTGATAATAGTTTCTGTACTAGTGACAAATAAAATGTATAGGAACATGAAGATTTAGTTGAATTAAACTGAAATTTTTATAGATGATCACTAAAATTCTTTTGTACAATTATCTTCATTGATTAATTTTGATTGTCAACGAATATATTCAGATCAGAGCTCGGACGAAAGTATTTGTACTCGTACTTTTTGTACTTTTTCGAGTATAAGTACAAGTAAGAAATACTTGGTATAAAATTCAAGTACAAGTATAAGTACTCATCAGATGGATTTGGTA